ATTTAATGTGCCTAACTATTTAAGTACATCCAGAATAATACACAAGCACCAAGAAATGACCTCGAAAACCCATAAGTGGCGAGTAATTAGCATTGCAAAAGTAATTAAAATATTCTAAAAATCATTTGAACATTTTCTAAAAGCCATTTGAACAAGTTATAATCAAGATATCAAATTTTGGTTAACAGATCCTTAAGCAGCACATTCAGGAGTACCTAATTCAGGGCTGTGGAGTCGGAGTCGGAGGAAATTTCGGGTTGTGGAGTCGGAGTCGGTAAAATTGTCCAGACTCCGACTCCGACTGAAGCTATTCTGTTCCTAAGAACAAATATATGAACTCAGGCATATTCATTGCAGTGATTCCACTGATCCCACTAATTTTCTTAAATTATTAAAAGAATTCATTTCCATTTTATAAGCATTATTATGAATTTATTGTAGCAGGCACAGTATAGCACTATAATTTTGGACGATAGTCTCTTCTTTACCATTTGAAATTTTGAATTATATCAAATTTTGTTTCGTTGAAAACTGCACAGAGGCTCTCAGCTACAAAATAATTAGCTACAACCTGTTTTTGGTGAGATTAAGGCAAATTTAATTTAATAACTTAATCATGTAAGGTTTATCCATTTTCCTTAATAAGGTATTCATTTCTTTAATGTACATATATATATAACTTTACTTTAAAAGGAATTGTAGGATCATCATTTAGATCCACATCAGATTATGAGCTTAAACAAAATTCATATGCTGAGATCGAACTTTTAGATATACATGTAAATGGTGTTTTCTAGTTAATATCTTGAATTCTTAATAAATATATTTTTCTTTTGATTGAAACTTTGAAAGTCAAGCCTATCATCTTTTTGTAGTTCTTAAATATCGTCCAGATCATTAATAAAGCTGTAGCAGTATAGCCACGGTGTTTTACTTTTTACCTATGCAGGTTACAACATACAAATTACAATTAGGATGGTAGAAATAGTTGTTACAAATAGGCCAAGGAGTCGGAGTCGGAAGCATAAAAATTTGAGGAGTCGGAGTCGAAGGTTTTGTCTTCGACTCCCCAGCCCTGCCATTTACCCCTGATATATCTCTGTACTGCACACTGTCCAGCAAGAAAATATAGCAGACATATAAAGCAAGCATAATAAGCCTTAAATAAGCAATGTAAAGCATAAATTGAGACTTGTTTACCAGTGTTGAGGATGGTAGAGACAGTCTAAGGAAGCAAGTTCAAGTCTCTACCACTCTTTGCTGGTCAATCACCACTTAGTATGCCTTATTATGTCTTATCACATCAAGTTGCCCAGCACAAGAGGAACTATCACTGGGGGTGTATAGGCATGATAGTCACACTAAGTCAGAAATAATGAAAAACACGAAGTCAGAGACGCATAGTAAGTGTAAACAAGAGCAAAGATGGCGGGATTGAGTCAAAGGCAGTGCACACAGCTCTCTGGTGGCAAGAATTCGCACCACGCCAGCTCTGCCGATCATTGAATCTCCAGGGTATCAATTAAACTTGCATGGTATTTCCCCTTTAATGTAATCGTCATACGAATCAGAGGTCAACGGGACAATGGTTATCAAAGTTCACCTGTACTGTACTCGTCTACAATTGCAACAGCCCTAGCCCCTATAAAGAGGTGAAAAAAGAAAGCCATAACTGTCTGTATGCTGAGAGATTGCAATTCAAAAGTGTTGCACATTGCATGTGTTACCTGTTCAGTTCAGGGTCAGCAATGAAACAGGGATAATGACCACCTCATTTTATGCTGACTCACTGTGCCTATTGCTGCTATGAGGAGAGTTGTGGACTGTTTAACTTGTGGCATGTATATGCAAAGACTGACACATGTACAGTATCCCACTTTTGTAGCTAAGTGGTATGGGAATTGGAATGAATGTATCTTAGGATTTGAACACTGAATTTCTGAAGCTTTTATGGTTCTTGGAACAACCACAACACTAGAGCTGCCACTGATCCATAGGACAATATAGCCTGCTGCTAGACTGTGCCAAAACATGGCATGGCAGGGGGTGTTTTAATCAACTTATTCATCTCACCAAAACATTTGTTAACTATCGGGTACTGTACCTATAAGACATAAAAATATATGTTCCCACTTTGCTCTCACCTCCGGTACTGAAGACAGAACTTGCTGAAGACGATCCCAATCAGTATTGGAGATACCAGATGATGCAGCCACATACTCCAGCACACTCTTGTTGTTCTCTCCAAATTCCTTCCATTCTTCAATGCTGTAGTGCTTATGGATGGTTGTGAAACACTTGTGCTAAATAGAGGTTCAAATATTTTAAGAAACTTTTTCTTTACTTGAACATTAGGTTAGTGTACTGGAATTCAATTTGTGTATCATTACCTTGCCTTTACTGTAGATACTGCTGAGAACGAAGTACAGTACAGTATTAGGTGCTTAGTTGTGTAAGGCCCCCAAGATCAGTAACCTTGCTTAAAGTTCTTGGAGATGGGGGGGAATACTCTCCAATTTTGACAAAGTATTGGCATTCTCTCAGTTAAGTCAGAATTTGTGAGGGTTTATCATATTTTTGAAGTTCTAGATGGTTTAACATATGTAGCCTTCAATTTACCCAGTATGTGTAATATTTAATGCCATGAAGTAACAATAAGAAAAATTTATGTTTCTTAAGAAGGGCCAGATACTCTCATACCTTAGCTAGGGTCTGGGCCATCTCAAAGGTGCCTACAGTGTCCATGTTGGCTGCTATGATTGGAATACCCGTCCATGTCACCTTTGAATTCCTGAAAATGATTGTCCTGTTTAGGTCAACCTGCAAGGACAGAAATAACAGTGAGATGGTATTATGAGAGCTGAAAGACAATGTTCTTATTATTGTTTAATGTTAACTCCACAATTAACATTATACAGTACAGTACTGCATTCAACAGGAATAAATGTTGTGACAAGTGCTAAGTAGTACAGTATGACTTTTTCATTTTAACACAAGGAAAACCTTAATCTATATTTATTGATAGGGTGACATGATATACAGGGTGATTCAGCAGAGTACATTAAATTGGAGGATACAATCCTTGGATAATTCTAGACCACAATTAATTTTTACTAAAAGATTAATTATACAAAGCCATGACTTGAACTTGAGAGGACTATGTCAAATTTCTTAATGGCTGGAATACTGTACAAGCAGAAACTAAGAAACACCTGAGGACTGACATATGGCATGAGTGACATCATTGTTTTATCGCCAAAGTCTGGGTTGACGGGTTTAAAAAAAAAGTCACTAGTGTCACCCCATTTGAAAATATGAAATAATACATATGGAAAAATACCTACCTTTTAGTATTCTACCCGACATTTTCCCTTTACTTTAAAGCCCTGGCCACTTTGAACAACCAATATTGTTAGCAATTGGGGTGTCAAGTCGGTTAAAATGCTCAAAAAATATACATTTCTGCCGGAAACGTAACAGAATATGGCATTTCTTTTCACCCCTTTTTCCCTATATACATAGAAATATGAAAATCCACGTTCGACCTAAAATGAATCGTTTCCAATTTCACTTTTAATTAACACGAATACTTACTTGGTCTTTGAATATTCCCATATTCTTTTAACTGTTTCATGGTTCGCACCTGGCCCATTCCTGAAGTTATATACACTGGTAATTTCCAGCCAGGTCTTGTTTTCGTGTGGATCGGACCCACATTTGTCTCCTTGTTGTTTATCACGTATTTCTTGTTATTGACCAAGTTAATAACAAGATATTTCTCCCTCTCTGTAATGCAAGTTGAGTGTACAAGCTTGTCATGTTGCCCGCAGCCTGAAAATGTATCAACCCCAACGTGACCTTAAATGAAACCCTATATTCAAGCAGGCGATCATCACGCCACAAATAAATTATAAACCAGTGAGCCTGGCCTGCATAGTGTGTAAAGTACTAGAGAGGATTATAAGAGATGCCATGATGGAACATTTACTATGAAACAACATTGTGAAGGGCTGCCAACACGGTTCTATTCCGGGACGCTCCTTTCTGACACAAACGGTACTGGAAGTTAGGACCCAAATTCTGGAACAGGGCGTTAATATCGACAATATACAGGTATACTTAGATTTTGACAATGCTTTCAACAGTGTACCCCATGAAAAGTATACTTGGCCCGTTGTTGTTTGTTTGTTTGTTTCATAAATGACATGCCGGAAGCTATGCACCCTTCTATACAAATGTTTGCGGACGAGGTCAAGTATTCAAGGAAATTACAAACCAAACAGACTGTGAAGAGCTACAGAAATATCTTTGTCAGCTTCAAGAGTGGTCGAAAAAATGGCTGCTAAGATTCTGTCAAGAAGTGTAAGAGGATGCACCTAGGTCGTACACACAGTAAAAGTATATTGACATTTCTTGAAAAAAATATATTAAAAAAAGCTATCACAGATCTTGTTGCTAAAGATCCAATGACTTTACCCCTCCTACAAGCAAAATATTCTTGTAGAGTTTTAAATAATCAATAATTCAAAATGTAAACTTACGTCACTATCCTTCATTCTATCTCAGTATTCCTTTGTTGACCCAAGACCTATGATCTATTGGGAAATGGATGATTCCTTATATCCCTTGGTAAAGCCGCGGTCACACGAGCGCTTTTATGGGCAATTAATTTGAAGCAAGAAATAACGTACAATCCGCATACTGTATTGCTTATTCCTTTGTCCACATGTTTGTTCCCTATTCCTTTATTCTCCGGTTAATGTCAGTACTCCACTCTCTCCCCTCCAACCCACCACACATCACCCCACCCTTGTTTCCCTCTCTGCATCCATTCCCTCCTCGCCCTTGCAGTTCTATCTCATTCTGGACATGTTTTTAGCGATTTCAAACAAGTACAAAATACTTTCCATTACAATGTAGTGCTGTATACTATATGCTTTTATAATTAAAATACAATCTCTACTAATGAAAAATTGTCTCCCTAAACTAACCCACATACAGGGAGCATGATAAAGAATGCTCCGGTAACTGCTCTGAAGTACCACACGAGTAGTCATAACACAAAGGTTACCCAGACAAGACACCTTCTTAAGAAAAGGATCACATTTGTAATGGGGGTGAGGACGGTAAAAGATGCTCAGTTTTTTTTAGGGGGGGGTGATTGGGGGGGGTTGGGGAGGGGGGTGCCACCTGTTATGGCGCCTTTACGTTAAGTACTCTTCTCTATGCGTGTAGTCGTAACCAAAGATCTTAATTTGGTTATTATAATAATTCAACAATATGATGCAGGTTGTGGGCTGATTGAGATGCCATACAAGAAACCGACAAGCGATCCAGTCGATGAAAGAGGGATGATACCGGTAGGTGCTTGTAACACATGGCGCCACAGCTTTCGCATCCTGTACAATGAAATATGTCTCATTTGTCAATACCATAACAATAATGGTTAGCGTGAGTACATAGTTACAACGTGTATTCAAGCAAGTAGTACATACACCTAACGTTTCACAATGATGCTCTAACCTTAACAATGATAAACCGTACATTCCTTGACCTAAAATGACTAGGGAGTTGAATTAAATAGGCTAGCTATAGGCCCATATACTCTAAGAATAAACTAATAATACACCTTCATATTAAAACAAACTACTGAACCTATGGAGGGTTATCAAATGGCAACCAGACAGAGAGCACAATATTATTGTCATTTGCCTCGAATATATATATATATATATATATATATATATATATATATATATATATATATATATATATATATATATATATATATATATATATATATATATAGTATGCAGAACAGTGATTGTTTTTTATTTCTTAAATTTTACAAATTGAGAATTTTTTTTCCCTTTTCATTAACCATGAGCTTCTATTTGTCAACAAACATATTTATTCCAGTGAATGTATCATATCACAAACTGGTGATATGTTGACACACTGAGTCGGTGTTGTTGCTCCGCCAGTGTGATAAGAATTATTAAGCTGGTGCGGTCAGCACTTCCCGAGGCTTGACTCAGGCCTGGACGACTGAAGAGTTCCTGCAGCCTCAGACACAAGGTTAAAAGTCAAATGGACCCCAGTAATATATTAAACTATACAAATGTAAAATTTTAAATTATAAACAAAACACAAACAGGCTACTGCTTATTTCTGTATCTCTTTGCTGTCATCACCCTGCACCTTTATCACATATACTGTACAGCATAGATGTAAAAAAAAATCGTCATCCTTGAAGCTGGTCAGGGTGTGTAGCTCCCGTGCAGCTGGTTGGGCCATGTAAGCTGGCCTGGTGCACGGAAGGAGTGCCTATATGGTTGGCGTGTTAACGTGGTGCTCTAGCTGACCTACTAGGGTTTTAGGGCCACATATCATGCGATCATCTGGTGCAACCGCTTTCCACAGTCAACACACCTATACCACCACCACCACCATATACTGTGTGTAGGTCTTTGTGTGTATATATATATATATATATATATATATATATATATATATATATATATATATATATATATATATATATATATATATATATATATATATACAGAAAGTCGATACTAATAACAAAGTTGATATGGCTGACTCAGCCAGTTGAGAGTCCCAGACCAGAGCATGATTACGAGGATACAAGCAGGATACAATGTTGGTGATCTCGTCGACAGTGTTGATGGTGTCGGCCCGAGGGGTGACGTCATCCTGGCCGGGCTTCACCATTATCTCACTTGTGCTTCCCTTTTCTCAAGCGAACCTCTACCATGAAGACTCACAATGACTTTCAATTCCTAGTGAACAGCTTAACCTTGATCTGAATGCACTCATCCTTTACGCAATGGGACGTTCATGTGCGACAACTGGTGTCAGTTGGGGCCCTGATGGGTATAAAATTCCTTCACACAATCTTACTGTTCAGGTTAAGGCTAGAAAGGGAAAGCAATTAATGAATTGGTGTACCCTCAAAAATTTTGCACATAATAAGGCATATATCTATAAATTATGACCATTGTAACTTTATCTAGCACAGTGGTTCTTAAACTGGGGAGCGCGAGCGGTCAGAGAGAAAAGTTTGGTCAGGAACTGAACGCGTCTTGTAAACGATTGTTCATCCTTCCCACTCTATAGTAACCAATGGTTGCATCAGGGGTGGGGGATTTAGGACTTATGCAGAGGGGGTGGGGGGTGGGGAGGCAAAAAAGTTTAAGAACCACTGATCTAGCAGATGCAGTGTAATACGAGTACAGCTTTGACACCTTCATAACCATCCGCACCTTCACTTCAGGGATCAACTTAACGCACAGAAACCAATGTGTGACAGACGGAAGGATAAACACGTTAAAAATAATATGCTGACAGAGTTTAAAAAGATTGTAGTAAAATCATGTATGCCAAATTCATCAAATAATGACTAACCTGTAGTGTATATTTTAGTCAATACATACTAATGTAAGTACAGTATATCTAAGTAGTAGAACAGTGTGTACAGTAAATAATGCTCTTGTTTACCGAAGTCGTGACCATTGGCCAAAACAAGTTCGTAAAAAATAATGAAGTTATCTATACAAGTACATATACACGAGTTATTACTTACCCAAAAATCACAAACACTATGCTGCCTTGATTAGTTTTTGATAGATACTGGTACTACAGGTAGTTCCTTTTGTTTCCGCATCGGTAGGGAGGTCAAGGGACGTTAAAGACCCAAGCATTGTTTGGTTACGTGCTGTAGAAAGACAACTTCGTGGAAGCCCGATAGAAGAATGTAAAAATTGAGGTTGGGAGTAGTACACTGCCCAGTCCTAACTGGATCATTTGCTTATATGGAAAGCGGAAAAAGTATCTTGCAGTTGTACATTTCGTTTTTCATTCAACAAGAAGTTAATACACGAGTATTTGCTAATTTACAGAGTTACACTTGATTACCATTTATGGTGAACCCGTATAATGAGGTTATTCTTACATGAATGTTAAAAAAAAAATCATTCAGCGAGACACATCGCCTGATCTGCGGGCATGAAAGTCTTTCGTGCAGTATGCATTCGCTTTAAGACTATATAAAATATTCGTTATTATCCTATCACTCATTTCTGACTATTTGATTTATAGCTGCTAAACCATGTTTTGGTTCATCAAAAGTTTTAATTCAATTAGTCTTTATAATCAGTCGTTCTCCTTTCTACATTAATTTTGTTGTCTTTATACAAAGGGAAACATTTAACCGAGGGGCGTAAACTCCGAATGTTTAAACAAATGGCCGATAGTCGACTCAGTACACAATGGCGTAGTTAAGTGAATCTTGGCATTTACTCTTTCTTATTACACAAAAGAAAGATGAAAAAAGATAAACACATAACTTGATGAGATGGAACCACAAAGACACAGCAACACTGAAGGGAATAACACACGCTATCAGTTGATGACGTGCAAGCATACCAACGTGTCAACAAGAGAGGTCCAGTAGGGTATATACCTTCATGCCCTTGAGTTGGACCACACGTCACCCCAGGATCCTCATTGAACAAATTTGTATCTTGCATCTTCTTGTCCCAGATTTTAACAGTTTTCAAGCACTTTCCCTTTATGCTCATGATATCACATCCATGTGACAATTGTCTTTACCCAATATTTTCCGAGATCAAGATTTTTGGATTATTTTACTCCTCAATTTCCCCCGAATGAACTCGTTCCTGGGTCCTGGGATCCTTGAGTGCTGAGCAATATAATTGATAAGTCTCCCAAGATTATGCCATGTTTAGTCTTAAGGACTCGTGTGGGGTGAAAAAATATGTAAGAGTATTCAAACAATTGACATAAAAAGGTGTCTGATTCAACACCCACAGGGCCGAACAGTGGTAACATCAACCAGTTCTTTTGGCTCTAGTACGACTTCTGCGAGAAGTAAAGATCCTGCTGTATGTTGCAACATTTTCAAAACTGTGCTGGAACAATGTATAGGAATTGATTATAACAAAAAGGTGTACCACATATAATTGAATGAACAGAGAAAAGCTATTCGTATGGGCTATCACCTATAGTGATTAAAATAATTTGTACTGGTGTACTACTGGTGGGGTCCCCACGAGGATCAGTACAGTACTGCATTACTGTGTTCGTCACAACCTACGTCATATCATGAACGATGAAGTATACTGGTGGTGAAAACTGACGATGGGTGCCATAAGCAGGATTGCCCGTAAGGAACAGTGTTAAAAATACTACCATGATCAACGACCAAGATTTCAGATCCTGACAAATGTGGGGTAACGTTACTGTAAGTTATAGTGGTGATGTAGGCTAAGTGAAACTTTACTTTCGCTGCAAAATAATAATTACTACAGACTTAGAGGGCCATGTGGACGGGTGAAGTAAACTGGTCTTTGCCACATATGCAACTGGTATGGTGCAACCTTGTAACAATGATGGTGTCGGAATAAGTTGATGGACTAAGCGGGAAGGAGTGAGAAACTATGTGCGAGACTGTGGGAGTAGATTTTACATTTATTTCAATCACTATGAAGTATGGTAACCTACTCACGTATTTTCATATCATAAGTAATCAATTACAGTAATATGAGAGTTTAACTAAAATTATTCACATCTGCAGATAAAATTATTTATTCTTTATGGGTCAGTCAGCAAGATGTGCACATTGGTTTTTTTAAGAAGTAGTAAAACAAACACCACCTTTATAAAGATCATGGCTAATGGTGTTACTGTCCCAACACCCATATTATTCGGAGTATTTTTTACTTTTGTTCCAAGGTCTAATTTACCAATCGGGACCACCGTTCATTACACTTGTCTAGTAACATGTGCAGCACTACTATAATTATGTTAACGGGAACCCGCTCTCAGTTGATCAACGAAATAAAGGTCACCATGATGAGCGGAACTAGTAGTTTTCTCGTTAAAATAACAGGGATTTCTTTATTTTCTGAAAATTGTTGCCGACTGATGAGAGGGATAACTGTGAGGTCTGCTAGTGGGCAGAAGTCTTAAGAACAGGCTCGACTTGACCTAGAGCACCTTGGGGTAAGAGATTACTGTATTGTAAATCAATAGATTTGCCTGCCTCGTGTAATTGGTTTTCTTGTAGTAGAGATCTAATGTTTCATTAAACCAGTTAACAAGACTGCCAGGGTATACTTATATTTCACAGTGACGGCAGGAAAGCGGGGAGCAGGTGATATGATGTGAAGTGTTCTGGTTGAATTGACAAATGATAAAATTTCAAGCTCACATATAATGCACAGCAACAAACACTGGTTCGGAGGTACTACGCAAGTAAGAAATACCCGCGACATATTTGCCTTGCAATATATTTTCTGTGAAGGATTACGAGCAGTAATTTTCGAGTCATATGATGCAGACGCACTAACCAATAAAGCTTTTCTGGAATAAAGGAAGCAAACGGTTGTATCCTAAGCCCAGAATGTGTGACGGAATCGAACACGACTACTCAGGTGGACCCCGATTTAATAGATTACGTCAACAAGACTTTTTCCTCATTTGATCAAGCTGCTTTGACTGTGTTTGATGCTCACCAAAAATATCCCCCCAAAAGTTCTGTTCATGAAAATAGCTTAACGCAATGTATAAGCCCTAGTATCGTGGGTCAAAAATTGGGTTCCAACACACGCATTGCTATTTTGGGTATATCGCCGCAGTGACTCGTCTAAATATCACGTATTTCGAGTAGTTCCGACGAATGACCATTCGATCAGCTTTACTTCATGGACTGGTGTATTTTTGTTGGAATATTCCAAGGAATGTATAATGGCCATCAATACATGTAGACAGAATAATTAATGGTTGAAAGAAACACCGGCAGCAGACGACACGACGCTCAGTCAGCTGATCACGACATTGTCTGCTGCAACAGTTTGTAATGAACAAATCATACTTGTAAATTTATACTTACTTCTGAACGGCTCTTCAAAGTAGATCTTTTGGGTCGCAGAAGGACATCCTTAAAGTCTAACTTAATATCATTATCTATACGTGGCATTGTGGTGCGTTTAAGTAAGAAGGAGAAGAGAGTGTCAAGGCCCGGTGTCACTTGCCTGGTGCTGAACCACGAGTGGCTGGCTGGTGGCAGCGAGGAGCAGTAGACTGTTGCCAGTATGCGAGTTATTTACTTCTTCGGGTGTACAGCATAGTGGTCAGTATTTTTCCTCCATCTCCTATAACAATATAAAATTTACAGGTTAATATAGAGTTTTATTCCATAGAGGGAATAATTAATTTAAGTGGATAGAGTAAGAATATAATGTGTTGTATAAATAAGGACACGAGACCTTCATTGTAAATTGAGAGAAAATGGGAATATAAAAATATTTTCTTTTGCAGGATTAAAGGTAAACTTGGATTTATGTGAATTTATATATCATGTCGCCTGAATTCCCAAGTAAATGAGAAAAATAAAGGCGATTCTTGGTATTAACACTTTGACTAGACATTAGATAGTAAACAAATATACAATACAAACGAATCTAATGATAGGTATAGTGTAATTAGTGATAACTCAGGTAGGGCCGGGATAAGAGTTTTTAATGCCCTAGGACAGCCCTCAGGTGTGCGCCCCCTATTCCTAGTAACTTTGATAAGATAATGTAAATACTACATTACCATATTTTTTAACAAAACAAATTGTCAGGTATATATTTTAATTTTGTGGCTGCATAATTTTCATTAATGCTAATAGTCCATGCTAATAACATCATGCTACCCTGTCTCTTTCTCTCGCTCTCAGAATTATATACATATACTACACTCAGTTCAGGATTTCTTAGCACCTATTTTACGGGGTCATTTGGCCTTCGAATATTAACTACAGGCGCGTGCTTAGTGTGGACACTTATGTATACCAATAGTTATAATAAATTGTATGGGACTGGAGGGCATTGGCTCTTGTACACCCTCTCCCATATAACTAGACTGGTGGTCCAAAAATAAACGGTAATCATAATTCACATGGTTAAATGAGAAAATTTTAAAATATTAAAGTTAGCCCACAAGAAAGAGTAGCTTTTCTCTTTTGTAAGTTTGAGAAAACGATAAATATTTAATGGTAAACTAATATAATATTAAACATCCTTGTATCTCGCCTCACGGCAATACCAACACTTTACATTGTTTTTCCCTGCCTTAAACCCTGAGATACTTCTTAAATGTAATACATAGTTGTTGAAATAAAAACAATTATCACTAAAATGCAAATCAGATTTGTTGAGGAGATAAACCCCGACTATACATTCAGCACTTAAAAAAATCAATAAATGAAGACTATAAGTACTGGGCATGTGCTGGCTCCTGAATGTATCTGTACCTGTGCCAGTGTGGGTTAAATCTGGTGTTAAAACAGCTCACACTCGACTGAGTAGTGCCCTCTGAGATGCTATAAACTTCCAAGAAACACCTTTCCCGCCTATGACTATGATTGTAAAAAAAATGATGGAGAGACAAATAGTACAGCTATACTCAATCATATAATAAATCTATATATCTCTGAGTTATAAATACATTCATTAGTGACTTGTAATAGGAATTGTGTGTACAGAACAGCAATATTTTGCTGTATAGTGTATATTGAGATGTACCCTCAATGGAACTATTGGTATTATTTTTATTTATTTTTGTATTCTCAACAAGTCACAAACCAACGGATATGTTTTCTGATGTAAAATTTGTAATGGAGTAAGATGGCTTAGTTTTTGTACAAGTTTCATACTTTTATCCTCCTGGCCACTAATCGGTTCGTTAGTCGCTTGGTAAGTACTGGTTCCAGAATATATATGTATTGTACTTACGCCATTGATAGTCAAGTCTGGTACTCACGCACGCAAGTGACGTCACAACACTCTCACTGACAGTTTTCCGAACTTGTTGCTTCTTGTATTTGTCGCTGAGGGACATAACTTCAAGCTCTCCAAGATATCATGAAGGACGAATATAAGGAAATGATTCTTCAAACAGAGGATAGCATAGATCTATGGGACAGTCTACAGCTCAAGCTGTGGAATCGCGAACATTCAAAAAGAGTACCCAGCTCACATCTGAGGGTTGGCTGCAGTCCAGTCCAGTCCAGTCCAGTCCAGTACAGTACAGTACAGTACAGGGCTTCTAAATAGCCCTAGACAAAACTACCAAGAAGAATGAAGGGATCATACATAGGCCTCCTTCCCTCGGCATGATGGCCGCCTCTAGTTTGGGTGGCCATTAGGTAAATAGGGTAAAATGAAGGTTGTCGGTTGCCAGGTACACTAGTTACCTAGGTTTAGTGACACCACCTGGTATAGTGACACCACCTGGTATAGTGACACCACCTAGTATAAGGACAGTCTCCGTCACTAGTCGCAGCAGCGGCAGTTATTATCAAGAAGCAAGGTAAGCGCTGGTCACCCTTTAAGTTGAGCGTTGATAAGATTTACTTAGTAGACAACTATTTTCTCAACATCAAATTATTTTTATTCTTAGAATATATAATTCAATCCACATTGTTATTATTTAAGTTAATTTAGTTTAAACTTCTCGAGAAAACTCCTAGAAAGGCATTTGGAACTGTCAGTTAAATAATGGAAGGCTCTGGGTCCATTCCCTGAAGCCTACACTTCAATAAGTAACCAGTAGGTGACGTAGAATTTAAGCTATTAATTAAATTTACACTCAAGCACTTCCCACTTACTTTTCTGTCACCAATAAGAACAAATAGCAGCGCCCTCCTTCTCTCACGACCTCGTCAGAAAAACTAGAATTACGTTTTGACAAGGGTAATGATATCTGGATAGGTTTGTGGAGAATTCTTATCAGGTACATCAACTTCTGCCTCCCATCTCCTCCTTAACGACCAACAAACTCATCCTGCGCCTTTAATTGACTCTCTTTCAAATTAGCCTTAAAATACAATCCATAAATAAATGAGCTGCAACCGTAATTAGCAGCCACTCACATGTGCAACAGCAAATTTGACGCCTTACCCTCCACCCCCACCGAGGGGACCTGCACAACGTCTGCCTGTGGAGCCTTGACTGATATGATAGTGGTCAGCGCTGGGACCCTCCTCGGGCACAAACTCAACACTAATGAATACCAGGGCCTGACCAGCCACACTGCTTTCACCTTCTGCAGTAATACTATCACCAATCTGAGCTCGGGTAAAGAGAGAGAGAGAGAGAGAGAGAGAGAGAGAGAGAGAGAGAGGGGGAGGAGAGGAGTGTGGCTGTCACTCTGTTCCCCTGGCGTGTTGTTTATGGCCTGATGCATCCGTCCTCTAGTGGTACATTAAACCCCTTTCACAACAAATTTCACGGTTATTAGTCCAATACGTGTACGTCTGTATCTCTTCACACACACACACACACACACACACACACACACACACACACACACACACACACACACACACACACGTAAGTTAATACACAAATATGAATGTACTGAGCATTCAATGATTACATACTTCGCACTATATCCATTTCAACGATTCAGGTTGATGCTTCATACTTGTGGTTATTCGCGGTGTATAACATCAGAGAAACCGACAGACAACATAATTTTATTTGAGCCTAAACTCGTACAGGATATACAGCAGTAAGTATACCTCAATACGCTCTTAGTTAAAGAAGTACCAGCGGAAAGCGAAAAACGATTTACTGTGTAGAGAGATTCGCCACTCATCAAGAAGTGGGGTCCCTTACACGTGTCCTGTCAGCATCACTGCATGAAGCCTCACTTAAAACGAGTAACCAGTTGTTTAATGTATATAACTTATTACAAGATTATTTTGTACATTACCACCAGTGTATATTACTGCAGAGCAATTTTAATTTTTTCTTAAGACCGCCTAAACTTATCTTTGTCTAAGAAACCGAGAGCGTTTGACTATTGTTTATAATCAAGGTGAAAGATAAACATTATCATCTGATGTTTTTGCATCGTCAGTTTATGCTCTGTGAGGTTACGCCGGTTTCCTATTTCGATCTGCATCAGATAACACCGTCTCCAGAGTGTGGGAAGTCAAGCGTCTTAAATATATTTGGGGTCGAGCTCAACCAACCTTGATACAGTTGTAAAATTGAATCTCGGCTGGATCTTCCTCGGCCTGTCATGGAAGAGCTTGACAGTGACCTCCTCTTATTAATGTTGCTTCACTGGCAATGATCTCATCCTGAACCCAATTCTAATATCGCTGTTAGCAATAATTATCATAAACCTGGCGTAGACAAGAACACGGGTTACAAAGACGTTCACTCAGACTAAAAATACACTGCTGCATTTACGTCCAGTTTAAGACCTTGTGTACTGCCAGATAGGGTCGTTTCCAGGCACCAGTGGGAGGTTGTCTTTAGGTTATACGTATATTTCGAGTATTAAGAGAATGTAAAGTCAGATGATGTGCGGGGTAGTGGCCAGGACTATAGTTTATCTTGATTTCCTTTGTTTATTAATGTCCCTCATAGAAGCCTCAAACCTCATGCTTAAAGTTTTCATTGTAGATTAAAATCTTTTTGATTTATTTCTACCTCAATCAGTATTGCTTAAAATTAGAATCCTCACCCTCTTAAATAGTCTACGCTACGAAACATTTTTTTTTCAGTCACGAGAGACGAATAGTAGAGGTGTGTGAGGGGGTAAGGGTGAGTATGACCTGTCAGCCCCTAGAACAGTGCCGATCAACTGGTCTATCTGATTACTGAACATATATAAACACCATAAATCAATGTTGTCCCCCCCCTCCTCCCTTCCTGAGTGAGTGACCTAAGGAATGAGTGAATGAGTATGTGAGTGAGCGAGTGATACATGAAAGAACAGAAACCATGACGTACGGCTGAGTTTCAACATCGTGATGGAGAGTTGAAGTTTAATCAATCAAATTACTTCAGTTCACAAATAAAAGATCGAAAATACATAAACAAAAGAAATAAGAGAAACATATAAAAAGTGAGATAGAGAGATAGAGAGAGAGATGTAAACAAAAAACAAGAGGTGTACGCACGTTAAGAGGTCTAATATCTGTTGATACATGTAAGTATTTAATTAGTCTCATTTATCATGTATTTATGCCGTCAACACGATAAAAATATATCTATCTAT